CCAGAAATTTTCAGGGATTGCTCTTGGCTCTGCACTCAGGAATCATTACTGGTGGTGCTCAGGGGACCATATAGCATGCCGGGGGATCCAATCCAGGTCAGCCGCATGCAAGGAAAATGCCCTGCCGGCTGTACACTCACTCTGCGCTCTGGCCCCATTAGCATGGATTTTCAAAATCTGATCTTGGGCACTGACATTAAGTTTTCTAAGGTATCTTTATTTTAAATTCTCTCTCTCTCTCTATATATATATCATGGTCACGGTCCTCCCGTTGTTCATCGATTTGCTCGAGCAGGCCCAGTAACATCTGCTTCATGAGACTTAGCACAGCGGTAGGGCCTTGCACGCAGCTGGTCTGGCCGAGTTGGGTTCGATTCCTCCGCCCATCTCGGAGAACCCGGCAAGCTACCGAGAGTATCTCGCCTGCACGCCAAAGACTGGCAAGCTACCCGTGGCGTATTGAATATGCCAAACACAGTAACAACAAATCTCTCTATAATATTATTTTTCTGGGCTGGAGCGATAGCGTAGTGTGTAGGGTGTTTGCCTTACAAACGACCAACATGGCCGACCCGAGTTTGATTCCTCCGTCTCTCTTGGAGAGTCCGACAAGCTTACTGAGAGTATGTTGCGCGCAAGGTAAAGCCTGGCAAGCTCCCTGTGGTGTGTTCGATATGCCAAACACAGTAACAATTGTCACAATGGAGACGTTACTGGGCCCACTCGAGCAAATCGATGAACAACGGGAGGACAGTGACAGATTATTTTTCTAGAGAAAATATATATATTATTTTTCTAGAGAAAATAGTTTTATATACATGTATAGTTTTTTTTAAAGGAAGAGGTCTGGATGGAGTGAAAAGACAATGGACAGGGCATTTGCCATGCACATGACCCCAGGTTCTATCTCTGGCACTCCACATGGTCCTCCAAGCACACTGGGAGTGATCCCTGAGCACAGAGCCAGGAGCAAGCCCTGAGCACTGCCAGTGTGGCCTAACCACTCCTCCCTCAACCCATTATTTTAAAAAAAAGTCTTTTTTTTTTGAAAGGAAAAGGCCAGGGACATAGCGCAGTGGTTGCATGCAGGATTCAGTTTGATTTCCACGGCTTCCCGGAGCGTTGCTGAGTGTAGCCAGGGAGGCCCCAGAGTAGTGCTGGGGTGACCCCTTAATCTCTGGCACTGCAGGGCCGCCAAGAGTCCCCGCGGGGCCTCCTGAGCCCGCCTTGGGAGCCTGCGCACGGAAATGCCCCTAATTCCCAGTCCCTCTGCAGGCATCTGCCCTGGGTTTTGCCCCGCTGCAGCGCCCGCCGTCCGCCAGGGGGAACCAGAGACCCGTGCTTGGAGCTTTGTGGTCTCGGTCCGCCCTGCACCCGCCTCGTGACCCTGCTTGGAGCTTTTATATATTTGATGGTGATGTGCTGTGACACTGCCAGATAGGGGAAACGTTCCCTGGCTTCATTTCTAGAATGTCTATAGAATAAACTGTGGTAATAGCTATTACTCGGAGTCGGTAATTAAAATATTTGAGCTGGCCTGCAGGGGCTGTTTTCTGGGATGACTTTGAACCGGGCCCCTGGGTGGCCACCCAGCCTGTGCCTTGGCCATCTGTGTTTACTCGCCCAAGGGCTCTGCCCTCCTGGCTGCCCGCTGCCCACCGCAGGCCGGGGAGGCGTGCAAAGCAGCGGAAAAAGGAGGTGAGCACTAGCTTGTAGGGCTCCCGCTATGCACCCCCTCTCGCCCCCCTCCCAGGAAGGTGATGCAGAGTTAGGTCTTTCCAAGTAAATGCCTCCTTCCGGGTCTCTCTGCTGCTACGTGTTCCTTCCATCTGAATCTGTCCTAAATGTCCCTTGCCAGCTAATTTGCACTAAAATGTGGCTTCAATTATGTTGCACCCTATTTAAGATGCAGTTGCATTTAGGATCCCCTTAAGACTCCTTCCTCCCATCTCTACCTACATTCCAACCTGCATCTTGGCTCTGACCAGATGAGGTTTCTGTTTCCTAGGCTTCCCTGCGCTTTCTCCTTCAGCTAAACCCACCAAATCCACAAATCCCCAGTTTCTTTCCATGAGTTCTTTCTCATCTCTCCAACAGGATGGAATATATTTCTTTTCCTTTTTTTTTTTGCCTTTTCTTTTTGTCACACCCAGCAATGCTCAGGGGTTACTCCTGGCTCAGGAATTATTCCTGGCAGTGTATGGGTGGACAATACAGGACACTGAGATACCAGGAATTAAACCTGGATCGGCCGCATGCAAGGAAAACGCCCTGCTCACTGTGCTATCACTCTGGCACCCAGGATGGAATATTTTTACCTTCTTTCAGTCTGCTGTTTTGCTCTTTCTTGCTCTTTCTGGTCTTCTACCATTAGCAATTTCCTTGGGGGGTAGACCAGTTCTCCTCATCTCTCTGCCTCCGGATGCCCAGAGAGTCTGATGGACAGCAAATATTAGCTGAGTTGGCTGAATGTCTGATCCCCATGCACTGTGAACAGTAAAATGAGTGATTGGAGCAAAATTTCAAATATGGGGGCCAAGAGATAGGGCAGTAATTGGGCACTTGCCTTGATTGCAGCAAACCTGGGTTTGATCTCCTGCACCCCACATTGTCTCCTGAGAACCAAACTAGGAGTGACCCCTGAGCACAGAACCAGGACCAAGCCCCGAGCATGTTGGGTATGGCCTAAACCACCCCCTTCCACAAAATTATGTTTATACATATACATGCATTAGGTGTTTAGGGAAAAGGGGATTTGCACTATGGATCACTTTATGATTAACTGTCTAGAATACATTCACAGGGTGGAGCGATAGCACAGCGGGTAGGGCGTTTCACATGGCTGACCCAGGTTCGATTCCTCCATCCCTCTCAGCTGAGAGTATCCCTCCCACACAGTAGAGCCTGGAAAGCTACCTGTGATGTATTCGATATGCCAAAAACAGTAACAACAAGTATCACAATGGAAACGTTACTGGTGCCCACTCAAGCAAATCAATGAACAATGGAGGACAGTACTACAGTGCTGCAGAATACATTCACATAGAAAGTAAGGAATAGGGTAAACTTTTACATGCTAGGATGACACCAGTGTTTATATTGTTGTGTGTTGGTATTCCAAAGAGTCAAATTTATGCTCAACACATTTCTTTTGACTTAAACTCATTTCTGGGGCTGCAGAGAAAGGCCAAAAGATGGGAACACTCACTTGCATGCAGGAGGCTGGGTTTGGATCCCCAGTACTACCAGTCACCTGAGCACAGAACTGGGAGTGACCCTGAGCATTGATGGGGTGAGGAGGTGCTAAGAATACTAAAATAAATTAAGTTTTCAGTATATTACTTTTTAATTTTTTTCCAGAATTTTATTAAAGCACTGTGATAAATCAATTTTTTTTAATTCTTTTTTTAAAAATTTTTATTAGTGAAACACCATGAGGTACAGTTGTCAACTTACAAATTTTTGTGCTTGGATTTCGGTCATACCATGATCAAATACCCATCCCTCCACCAGTGCCCATTTTCCACCACCAAGGATAATATCCCTCCCCCCATTCCCCCCATCCCCCCCTGACACTGTGGCAGGGCATTTCCTTTTGTTTTCTCTCTCCTTTTGGGTGTTGTGATCAGCAAAAGAGGCACTGAGTGGCAAACATGTTCAGTCCAGTCTACTTTCAACCTGAATCTCCCCTCCTGGGAGGATCCTCCAAACACCCTCCATTTGGTGCTCCCTTCTCTATCTGAACTGTCCTTTCCCCTAGAATACCCGGCTGGCCTCTTAGCTATGGAGTAATCCTCCTGGTGTTGATCTCAGCTATTCTTGGGTATTAATCTCATATTTTGTTATTTTATATCCCCCAGATGAATGCAATCTTTCTATGTCTATCCCTCTCTTTCTGTCTCATTTCGCTTAGCATGATACTTTCCATGTAGTACCACTTGTATGTAAATTTTATGACTTCATCTTTTCTAACAGCTACATAGTACTCCATTGTGTAGATGTACCAAAGTTTCTTTAACCAGTCATCTGTTCTTGGGCACTCAGGTTTTTTTCCAGATTCTGCTATTGTAAAGAGAGCTGCAATGAACAAATAAGTGCAGATGTCACTTCGACTATACATTTTTGCCTCTCTGGGATATATTCCCAGGAGTGGTATTGCTGGGTCAAATGGGAGCTCAATTTCTAGGGTAAAGGGCAGCTCAGATAGAGAAGGGGGCACCAAATAAAGGGGTGTTTGGAGGATCCTCCCAGGAGGGGAGATGCAGGTTGAAAGTAGACTGGACTGAACATGATTGCCACTCAATGCCTCTTTTGCAGACCACAACACCCAAAAGGAGAGAGAGAACAAAAGGGAATGCCCTGCCACAGAGGCAGGGTGGGATGGGGGGGGGGATGGGTGTGGGAGGGATACTGCGATCCATGGTGGTGGAGAATGGGCACTGGTGGAGGGATGGGCATTTGATCATTGTATAATCAAAACCCAAGCACAAAAATTTGTAAATCTACAACTGTACCTCATGGTGTCTCACTAATAAAAAAAAAGAGCTTAGCCATCTAGTCTAACAGATTACTGCAAAAAAAGTGGGAAACGCTCACTCCAGGATGGAAGGGGGAGGGGGGGCAGGGAGGTGCATGCAAGGCGTTTGATCCACTCAGCACCCCGTGGAGACCCGTGGGCTGGGAGCCTTCTCCTCCTCCTTTCCCTCTCTGTCCTCCCCCCTCTTCCTTCTCTCCTCCTCCCTTCCCCTCTCCTCCCTCTTCTCTTCTTCCTCCTCTTCTTCCCCTTCTCTTTCCTCCTTATCCTCCTCCCCCCGCCCCCTCCAGCCCCCATCCCCTCCTGCTCCGTCCCTCCTCCCCGCTCCCCTCCCTCAGGGTCCACGCACGCCCACGCCCCAGCCCTCGTGCCCTCGCGGTGCTCGCATTGTGCGCTCCCTAGCAACGCAGCGGCCAGCACGCTCAGCGTCAGCCACTCGCGGGCCCGAGGCCTCAGCGCCCGCCACGGGGCCCTGAGCAGCCTCGCGGGCGGCGATGCCTGAGAGGCGGCTCACGGCGGGTACGTGCGCCGCGCGGGGGGCCCTTCCGCGGGGTCGCGGGAATTAGGACTCCTTCCCCCGCACCCAGACCTCTGCCGCGACTTCCAGCCTCAAATGCCACCCACGTGCCCAGGCGTGGCCCTGAGTTCTTGTAGTCCTGGGGGGCGCCGATGCAATGTCTTATCTCGTTTCAGAGCCTCCCGTTATTACAGAAGACGGATTCGTGAGTATGGTCTGGAGGGCGACGGCCCCCGGCTCCCGCTGCGCTTTAGTTCCTAATGCAAAGGCAGATCGCGGGCAAAGCTGTGGTCCTCCTCCTCCCCTCCGCTTTCCCCTCCTCCCCCTCCTCCTCCTTTCCACCTCCCTCCTCCTCCTCCTCTTCCTCTTCCTCCTCCTCCTCTTCCTCCTTTCCACCTCCCTCCTCCTTCTCCTCCTCTTCTTCCTTCTCCCCTTTCTTCCTCTTCCTCTCTCCTCTTCCTCCTCCTCTTCCTCCTTCTCCACTTCCTCCTCTTTCCTTTCTTCCTCTTTCTCCTTCTCTTCCTTCTCCCTCCTCCTCCTTCTCTTCCTCCTCCTCCTCTTCCGCCTCCTCTTCTTCCTTCTCTTTCTCCTCTTCCTCTTTCTCTTCTTCCTCCTCCCTCTCTCCTCCTCCACTACCACCACCACCTCCTCCTCCTCCTCCTCCTCCTCCTCCTCCTCCTCCTCCTCTCTCTCCTCCCTTTGCCTCCTCTTTGTTACCTTGCTGGAGTTTTGCCTTTAGTCCCAACTATATGAGAGACCCTTTTCGATTCCTGAAACCATGAGAAGCCCCGCAACGGGCCCTTATGTGGTTCCTGTTCCCAAGAGTTCTTTTCTGGAAAAAGCCTTTGGAATTGCTCTTTGACTCTGATTTTCTCTCAGTGTCGTGTAGTCGCAGCTATAGTTGCAGTAAACATTCATGGGCAGATCATACTGCAGCTCCTTTCAGAAAAGCACCAAGCGGAGTTTTCAGCTCTGACTCGTTTGGAGTTTAGTAAAGCTTGGGATGGGCCCCAGCACTTAGGGAATCAGTGTGTGCTCCCCAAGGCGGGTTCAGAGATGGAGGTGGCTGCTGAGCCTGACTGGCTTTGACTGGATTCTGGGTTGAGCCCAGTGCTCCTGCCATGTCTCTGTGTTGTTTACTTAGTGTCTTCCAGCTCTTACTGCCCCCCTTGCCCCCCTTGGCTGATGATCTTGTTATTTGCTTTTGGGATTTTGTTGAACAAACGTTGAGAGGCCTTCTAGGTTTCCAGCTCGAGCTGGACTCAAAAGCCAAGAAGAAGGTTACGGATCCCCAGGGTCTGAAGGAGAAGAAAAGGCTCTGCAGGATCTGCTCCCCCAGCTGGAGGGACATCCCACCCCCACACCCCCTCCAGAGTGTGGCCTGGGGGTGACCAGGGGTGAAGGGGAGGGAGGGGGTGCATGGTTGTAAGCTGCTTTCAGCACTGTGCTTCCAGTGGGCTTGCCAGGACCTTTCTGGAATGACTGGGCCTGCCAGCCCTAACCCAGCATGTGCACCGATAGCCCTCAGCGGTGGGTCACCAGGCCGCCCTAACCTTTGTGCCCTCGACCCACCTCTACCAAAGACCTGAAAACCCAGTAGCTGCCTCTTTTCCTCCCCACCTGCCTTTCATCTGAACACCCTTGGTTTACAGAGCTGTTCATGATACACTTGTTACAGGCATTCAGTATCCCAACGCAAACCCCACAACCAGTGTGACCTTCCCTCCACCATTGTCTCCATTTTCCCAAGCCTGCCCCCTTAGTAGGCACAAAATAATTTATTTTATATGGCTTGTTACAACAAAGTGGCTAATGGAGTTAAAAAATACTTTAGTGAAAAAAATTTGTGAAAATTATTGTATCTCACCATGGGTCATTAAGTCCTTGTCTGAGGGTTTGCTGAGAGCTATTGTTGCTAGTTGAACCTTCTGTGCTATACTTTTGTTTTTAGAGTTTAGTGGGTTTCTATGTTACTTTCCCATCTAATCTGGTGTGTTCTACTGGGATGTAAGTATTGTAGAATGTGGAGGTTTGAAAAATGCAGAATATTTAACTGGGCTATGAGTTTAGATGGTGGTCTTTGTGAGATGTGGGTGTGGCTGCCAGGGTGTTCAGAAGCAGAGGGGTAGGGGAGGCTTCCTGCCCCCCACTCCAAGAAGACCCCAGAGCTCTCAGTGTACCTGGAATTTTTGGCAGTTCGGCATCTCTGCAGAGCTTAGTGGCAAGGCAGTGGTTTCCGGCTTTTGGCGTAGCAGCAGCTGTGGGTTGTGGATGTGACGGCCAGGATTTTGGCAGGGTGGGGACTTGGCCTCCTCTTGAGGATGCCCCAGAGTTTTCAGCTGTGAAGCTGATGTACCTGTGAACATTTGCAGCTTGTTGATCTCTTCCGAGATTTAATCATGAGCCTGTAGAGCTAGGCCAATGGGTGAGCTTACAGGGAGGAGATTGTGGGATGTGGGCATAGCTGCTGACAATCTTCCTTCCTTCCCTCCTTCCTTCCTTCCTTCCTTCCTTCCTTCCTTCCTTCCTTCCTTCCTTTGTCCCTCCCTCTCTCCTTCCCTCCCTCCCTACCCCTTTCCTCCCTTCCCCTTTCCTCCCTTCCCCTTTCCTCCCTCCCTCTTTCTTCCCTCCCTCCCTCCCTCCCTCCCTCCCTCCCTCCCTCCCTCCCTCCTTGCTTCCTTGCTTTCCTTTTTCCCACCCTGATGCCACCATCTTCCACCTCTCCCAGTTCTCATTTATTTATTTTTTAAAAAATCAGTCCCCTTTTTGGCATTCCTTTGCTCTTCTCCAGGACCCAGTTCTTCTGCAGTCCTCTCAGGGATCACTCCTGGTGGGCTTGCGGGACCATATGGGATGCTGGGGATAGAACCTGACTGGGTCTGTGCAAGGCAAGTGCCCTACCCACTGTATTTTTCCCCAGTCCTAAGGTTTGTAAGTGTTTTTTTTTAATAAAAACTTTTGGGTATCTCCTGATGTGTGAAGAGCATGACCGAAATGTGTCACATATGTGTGACCCTGTCACCTCAATTCCCACCTCAGTGAGGGAAGGGAGATTGGGGGAGGGGGCGGGTTCAGTGTCATTTTTGTGAAGCTGACTGCTTCATAGTGAACCTCAAAACAGCCCTGTTGGGGGGATAGTGACAGTCACATCTCACTGCTGAGTAAGTGGAAATTCTGGGGACATCTGACTTGGCTTGAGGCCTTATGTCTAGTCACCAGAGCCACCCGAGCCAGAGAATGTTCATCACCCTACGCCTGCACCGTTTTTCCTACTCCCTTTTCTTTGCACGTACTTCTGTATAAATACCACATGCTAAGCGGTTGCCTCATTGAAGATCCAACCTTCCCTATTCGTGTATCTGGAGTCCTGTCCCCACAGCACATGCATTAGGGTTGCAGTTGTGACCAGGGGTTCCTGTGTTTGTGGTGGTTAAACTCCGTGTGTGCTGTAGCATGTGATTTGAAGGGGACATTCTTAATGTTTTGGCTGTTGTCTCACAGACACCCGTCAGTTGTCCAAGTGAAGCAGCTGAAGATTTCTTCCCCCGATTTCCCTTTCATGTTCAAAATTTTTTTTCAAAAACCTTTCAGAACCTGAGAGTTCTCAGGACTTGCCCCTGGCTCTGTGCTCAGGGATTACTCCTGAGGACAAGTCTTCAGGAACTATCCATGATGCAGGGGATCGATCAGGTGCCCTCTCTGCTGTACTATCTCTAGCCCCGAGTCTTGTCCTTTTAAAACAAACTTGTAAACTCCAGTAGAGTTGGGATTTGGTCCCAGTGTTCCTTGGTACTCCCTAGAGTAGGAAGGTCTCACAGAGCCAAATATGCTGTCAGATGGTTCATCTGGTTTACATGAGCATCAGGGTTGTTCATTGTACTTATATTTGTGGAACTTCATTGGATGTTCCTTAAGCATCTCTCTCAGCGGTCTCCCCACTCTTGTATCTCTGTTCCTATTGTATTTGATTGGTCCTTGATAATATTCTTGAGGACAATTTATACCCAAACTTAATGTATTCAATACCTTCTCATTAGTTCCTCTGGGAGCTATATGTTTTATTGCAAAAGCAAAGCTTGAACATAGTCTTTTAAATCAAATGATAAAGTGAATGCTTTTCATTACTTCCTTCAATCCCAGCTCTCTTGTTTTCATATTCTATAGAAATGGAAATATAAATCTATCTCAGCATGAATAGAACTTGGGCTGCTTCGTGATGCACTGGGAGTTGATTAAGTGCTAGGTACACAGAGAAAAAAATTTAATGTGACTGACTCTGAAAATTCTTTTTAATTTGAAAATAGAATACAAATTAGTATCAAAAGCTTAAGTGTTTGACCGTCAAATCTAAGGTAATCATATTTTTCTCTTGTGCCTCAAAAATGAACTGAAAGCAGGTAGGTATATATGCTTTGGTTTGAAAATAGTCTTTGTAGGTAGAAATTTTGTAGTACCTATTAAAGATTTTCTGATAAAACAGATACCATTTTAAAAAGAAAAAAATACCATTTTTTTTACCATCAAGTCACTTTTCTCCATCCAATCAGCAACTATAGATACTATAGTTGTGTGTGTGTGTGTGTGTGTGTGTGTGTGTGTGTGTGTGAGAAATAGAACCCAGGTGAAATAGAACCCAGTTTATTTGACATTTGAAGGAGCAGAGAGGTTAGGACCACATTCAGCGGTACTCAGGGCTTACTCCTGGCTCTATGCTCAGGGTCCACTTCTGGCCATACTCAAAGGATCATTATCAGTAACCAGAGTTTCACGCAATATTTACTCATCTGACTTAAATATGATACTTGCTTATAGCTTATCTCTAGTCTGTTCAATTCATTTTCTGGTGTTTGTATGGATTGAATGAAATCGTAATAAACACAGAATATTTCCCAAGCATGAGGATCTCCTTCTCATTCTAGTGCAACATGCAAAAAAAAAAAAAAAGAAAAGAAAAGATCCCATGTCTCCAGGCCTTGTGAACAAGTCCGTCAAATTATGTGGAAACATACTGACCTGTGGTATTTATTTTTCCAGAATGTAGCCATGGCCCAGTGCCCACAAGTTGGTTTGGGCGGGCCACTAGGTAGCACTCGTGAGTAGGCCGGGCTGGACCTCTCCTTGCCCCCATCCTCTGTTTGTCCCCCGAGTGTGTGGGCCCGGGTGTCAGGAGTGTTTCCAACAAGTCTTTTGGAAACTGAGATAGAT